AGCCACAGGGTCTGGTGAAGATTTTTGGGGTTGTTTATTATTATTTTTATTTCCCCCCCGAGCAGCAGCAGCGTCGGGTGCCTGCGCTGAGCAGCATGAAAACCCACCAGGGGGATGAGTCCGACCGCAGCCAAAATTGGCCGAAGGAGCCCAGCGTGGGATTTCCACGGGATGAAAAAATCCGAGCGGCTGAACGCCCAGCACCCCCCCTTCAGCTCTTTAAGCACCAACAATTTAACTGGAATTATTTTTTCCCCCCTCTTCCTCCAGAGACCAAGATCAAGCAGCTGGACCCGGATGACATGGACGAGCTCGAAAACCTTGAAAACTGAGTGAGGAGCAGGGATTTGCTCCCCCGGATCCCAGCTCTGGTTCAAAATGGGAGGAAAATCCCAGGGAGGGGGGAAGCTCCCCCTCCTCCCGTACCTTCCTAAAGCCGTTTGGTTCCTTTGGGATGTTTTAGGAGAAGCCGGGGGGAAAACCCTCCGCCTTGTCCTTGGTTTTGTTCCTTGTTCTCTCCCTCGAGGGTTTCACAGCCGGGGCTCAGCGCGGGGGTAACGCTCCCCAAAAACGGGCTTAGGGGCGCTCGGAGCGGTCAGCAACCCAGGTACCCCCTCCTCCCGTACCTTCCTAAAGCCGTTTGGTTCCGTTGGGATGTTTTAGGAGAAGCCGGGGGGAAAACCCTCCGCCTTGTCCTTGGTTTTGTTCCTTGTTCTCTCCCTCGAGGGTTTCACAGCCGGGGCTCAGCGCGGGGGTAACGCTCCCCAAAAACGGGCTTAGGGGCGCTCGGAGCGGTCAGCAACCCAGGTAATTGGCCCCAAAAATCTGCTCCTCCCCAGGCGGCAGCGGTGGGCACCGTTTCTGCCGGCAAAATCTCAGAGAAAACTTTAATAAGAAAAAAAACCCCAATAAATGAGGAGAAAAGAGTGAGTTATTTGAAGAAATGATTATAATAATCGCGCGGTCTCGCTAGATGGCAGCACGAACCCGCTGCCGCCGTCCCCGTCCCCTCGGGATGCGGCTGGGGGGCGAGGGGGGCCGCGCC